ATACTACTACTATACTATATATATATATATATATATATATATATATATATATATATATATATATATTCGTTATATACATTATATATCCTTGCAAATTTTGCTGGCGTGTCTTTTTGAGTATAGACGTGAAAATAATTGGCTCACTGTCGTTATTAGTTTCTAAAGATAGTAAATAGAGAAATCACATGATTACACATACTCCATTTATCATATATAATATTATTACTTATATTTTAAAAATATTACGTATTTTACTGCTTAAAATGAGAATTTTCTATCATATATTGAGGAAGATACATTTAAATACATATATCGTTGCTATCAAATATACAAAAATAAAGAGAGATAAGAGCAAGATAGGGAGGGAGGTGAGAGAGATTTGTTGCCAGATACATGTAAAGTCACTTGGATATAGTTTATCAAGAAAAAATACACCTAATATTAATTCTAATGTATTTCAAAATACATGTATTTGGACCTATCTAGACACAGCAAAAAATCTAATATGATTCACAATATTACAAATTAAAATGTATCTAAGTAATTACTTTTTTAACTAGTGAATTTATATAAGTGTTTGTCATGAATATTAGAGTAAATTATAGCCCAATACCTTTGGGTCACCTAGTATACAAAATCTATGTACATAGACCATAGTGTATAGATAATGTAAACTTTATACTAATATATACACGTATAATTTGCTTTTACTAATTATGTGTGTGTATGGTGTTTTAGGCTTTGTTTGTTGCGGGAACAGAGACCACATCGATGACAATTCAATGGGCAATGCGACTTCTTTTAGCTCACCCTAAAGTATTTCAAAAATTGAGATTCGAAATCGATAGCAAAGTTGGGAATAAACGTTTATTAAACGATTCCGATTTCAATAATCTTCCTTATTTACAATGTGTTATAAACGAGACGTTGAGATTATACTCTCTAGTACCACTTCTATTGCCTCATTACTCATTAGAAGATTGTAGTGTTGGTGGCTACCATGTACCAAAAAATACAATCCTAATGGTTAACGCTTGGGCCATTCATAGGGACCCCGAGTTATGGGACGAGCCTGAAAAATTCATACCTGAGAGATTCGAGGATATGGATGGGGCGAAAAAAGAAGGGTTTAATTATAAATTTATACCATTCGGTATGGGAAGAAGAGCATGCCCCGGAGCTAATATGGGCATGCGTACTGTTTCATTGGGGTTGGGTTCGTTGGTTCAATGGTTTGATTGGAAAAATGTGGAATTAGATGAAAATTATAGGAATATGGATGAATACTATAATTCTAATGTAATTTCAAGTAAGGATAAGCCTTTTGAGGCTATTTGCATTCCTCGTCAGCATTAATTTCGAATAAGAATTGTGTGGGTTTCTGTAATAAATAAGTATGCTAAAATGTATCTTGGATTGGTGTGTAACATGTGATATATATAAGGATTTTCTCTTTGTGTTTTAATGGAATGTGTTACCCAAATAAGATCAATATTGTGGAAATGGATTATGAGCCTGTCTCGATTGATTTATACTTTCGTTTTTATTTTATATGAGTATAGCTTAATTTCAGATGGAGTAAGACATTTCATTAATGGTAAAATAAATATTTTAAAGTTTATGTTACTATTTGATACAGAAATTTGTCAGTTTTTGACTAAGTAAAAAATAAGTCATATAAAGTGATGCAAAGGAAATAGTGTTTTTCAAGTTTAAATAATTTTTAAAGCGATTTTTATAGTATTTCAATAAAATAAAATATTATTTTTAAGCTAATAAGACGAAAATAAATATGAAGTTATAATTCTTAATTTATGATTTTTTTTATTTATTTATAAGCAACAAATTTTGAACTATAAGCTCAAACACGCTCATTCTTTAGTACATTTCCCAAAAACAGTTAATTATCATCTTGTATTTCCCATTTATACGTAACAGTAAATTATTCTTTGTTATATATGATCTATACAAAACTTGTAACTTATTCTGAAACAGATTTTTATTTTATTTATCATTCTTGATTAAAAAAATATATATCAATTTCCCTTTGCTTGTTGATAACGTAAAGATTAGTTTTCTTTTAATAGATTTCAGTTTCCACATACCTTTTATATTGAAAAAGTCACTCTAATTTTAAACTTTTCTTTCAAAAAGTATAGCAAGTGACTTTTCGAGAGAGAAAAGCCTTCATAATTTGAGTAACTTTTACGAGATAAAAGTTTATAATTGAGCGATTTTTCTTATATAAACTTCTTTTTTTTGGAATTAGTTGATACTTGACAACCACGCATTGCATGTCAGTTCCACTCATAGGTGAACTCATGTTCACGTGCACTCGTTAACTTTGAGAAATGAGTTCCTGAATAAAAACAAACGAGAAAAATGTGTACAAAACTTAGTCTCTCTATCTATTCGGCCTCATCCTTTATCCTTTTTTATTTGTCGATTACTTAAATTGGTCAGCAATGATCATGCTTTTTGTTTCTACGTACTAGAAATTTATCGCTCAACTACTAACTAATTTCATGCCTAGGTACTTTCAACGGTATATTACAAAACGAAAAAATGGCCAAAAATATGCCTACCATTTAGAAAATGACTCACATACTTATGTGTTCGATTTTATGATGAGAATTTGTACTGGAAAACGTAGCGTAAATGAGGAAGATATTGTTAGATAAATTTTTTCATACAATAGATGGAAAAATAAGTATATACATTTGTTACACATTTAAGCGGTAATAGGATAAAATAGAGATAGGAGAAATAAAAATTCCTTTGTTGGTCATTTATTTTTAAAATATATTTTTATTTTTTTATTTGTCCATTTTGACACATAAAAGAAGACAAAAAATTTTCATGTTAATAATCTTCAAATATCATTCTTGAAGACCTAATATATACTAAACATTAATTAATAGAGATATTAAGATAAAATATCTATGTTAATAATTATTTTCTTAATAGGTATGTCAAGTCAAACAATGACAGGTAAAAATGAATAGAGCCCAGAGGTGATAAGAAGCAAATTCATGCTATTATTTTTTGCATTAAAAAAACATAATATTAAACGCCGAATGTTTTTTAAACTTGTGAGTCGTTACCCTTAGCTTTCACTCTCTCTATCGTGAAGTGATAATGCTACAATATAATTATAGTATATATTATCTATTGAGAGTACTTGAATTTGTCAATAATTTAATCAATTGCCTTTTGTTGATAAGGTAAAGACTACTTCTTTAATAGATTTCAGTTTTCACCTACATTTTAATTTGGAGAAAGTCATTCTAGTTTTGAACTTTTCTCTTAGAAAGTTTTATAGTTGTGCGACTTCCCGAGAGAAAAGTTTCAATAGTTGAATAATTTTCTGAAAGAAAAGTTCACAATTGAGTGAATTTTGAGAAAAATTTATAGTTAATTAACTTTCGAAAAAAATTTCTTTATGATATTATCTCTATTTTATACAAACTTCTTTATCCTGTGATTAGTTGAAACTTGACAACCCCACATGCATGCCAGCCAGTGGTAGACTAATGTGCATGTGAGGTTATGTGCACTAATTTGATATTTTTATTTATAAATATCGATAAGCTAATATTTATCTTGATACACTTCAAAAAGATTATACTTAGCGTAGTATATAGTTAACTTGTGCACCTTATGTAGTTTGCACTTCTTCGACCAATGCTAAAGACTAATTATTAGACAGAAAAATCATATTTGACCTATATACTTTGTATTTTTGTTACTGCTCACACGATTATTCTTATGTCGTTATTTAAAATTTCACTTATCGTTTATATTAAAATAATAATTTCCCCGCTAGTCTTCAAATCTTATGTTCCCCTTCCGGTCCCGGCACACCTTTCACTTGGTTGTTTTCTTCTTTCTAACTGTCTCTTAAATTATTATTAGTGTTATTTTTTGTTATAGAAACGTAGAAATTTAGTATACTTAATTTGTCATTTACTTAAATGCGATCATTGCTTACGAAAATATTTTTAGCCTCCACACATTGAGAACTGATATGTATATATGAAACACAAATCTGTTTTACTAAAAACTACACTGCCTTTGACTTATAAAGTCTACAATTACTCTGTTTTTGGCCATGGAGATTCTCAACTCTTACTACTTATTGCTATTCTTTGCTATCTTTCTGTTAAAATACTTGTTTCGTTCCAAAAATCGTTTACCCCCTAGTCCTCTATCTCTTCCAATAATTGGTCATCTTTACATGATCAAAAATTCAATTCATCAGACATTAACCTCATTATCAGCTAAATATGGACCAGTGATGTACCTCCGGTTTGGCTGTCGAAACTTGCTTGTGGTGACTTCTCCATCCGCTGTTGAAGAATGTTTCACTAGAAACGATATTATATTTGCGAATCGTCCTCAGACTATGACTGGCGATAAGTATTCATTCAACTATACGGCTGTTGTTTGGGCTTCTTATGGTTATCTTTGGAGGGCGCTTCGCCGTCTAATGGTCATTGAGATTTTCTCTTTCAATAGCCTTCAAAAGTCTTCTGCATTGAGGAGTGAAGAAACTACAATCCTTATTCGCGGTTTATTTGAAGCTAATTGTGATAGGAGTGGGAGGAGTAATGTGAAAATTAACTTGAGTGATTGGGTTTCTAGTTTTGCGTTTAATGTTATGATGAGAAGTGGTACTGGGAAACGTTGCGTAAGTGAGGAGGAGATAGGAACAGAGAAGGGTAAAGAAATTATTGATGAGATCAAGGGATTTTTCTTCGCGACGTTGTTGCCTTTGAATGTGTGTGATTTCTTGCCAGTATTGAAGTGGTTTGGGTATAAAGGGATTGAGAAGAGGATGGTTTTAGCTCATGAGAAGAGAAATGAATTCCTGAATAGTCTATTTGACGAATTTCGACAGAAGAAAGTTAGTCCTATTAGTGTTTCGGAGTCTAGTACTGATCGAAACAGAGAGAAGAAGGGTACATTGGTTGAAACTCTATTGTCTCTGCAAGAATCAGAACCCGAATTCTATACAGATGATCTCATTAAAAGTGTTCTTCAGGTACGTTCGATCAAAAAAATTTCAACTTTAAGGTAACTTCACTAATTAGAGTTTGACAGGTTTTGTTTATTGCGGGAACTGAGACCACATCAATGACAATTCAATGGGCGATGCGACTTCTTTTAGCTCACCCTGAGGCATTTCACAAGCTGAGAGCTGAGGTTGACAGCAAAGTGGGGAATGAACGTTTGCTCAGTGAATCTGATTTCACTAATCTACCTTATTTGCAGTGTGTTATCAACGAGACGCTGAGATTATACCCTCCAGTACCGCTTCTTTTGCCTCACTACTCATTAGAAGATTGTACTATTGGTGGCTATGATGTACCTAAACATACGATCCTAATGGTTAACGCTTGGGCAATCCATAGGGACCCCCAGGTATGGGATGAGCCTGAAAAGTTTAAACCGGAGAGATTTGAGGGTATGAAAGGGGAAAAAGAAGGGTTCAATTATAAATTTGTGCCATTTGGAATGGGGAGAAGAGCCTGCCCTGGAGCTGCAATGGGCTTACGTACTGCTTCGTTGGTTTTGGGTTCGTTGATTCAGTGGTTTGATTGGGAAAATGTGGAATTTGAGGAAAACTTGGATGCGTGCTATAATGCTAGAATCACTTTGAACAAAGAAAAGCCTTTGGAGGCCATATGCATTCCGCGCAAGAATTGTATTCGATTCCTTGACCAGCTCTGAGTTTATTATCTATGTAGTGTAAGGATCTACCTTTGTTTTCTCAGTGGATGTTTATAAATAAGTACACGAGTTTAAGGACAAGGTAGAACAACTCTCTCGATTTGTTTGAGTTATCCTTCAATTAATTATAAGATCATTATAATCAGAGGTCTCGTGTTTGAGTTCTTTAATACATAATCATCTTGGTTAGAGAGCGTCTTACAATCCAATATGGAATTAGTCTAGACAACTACATACACTGGATACTAGATGAGAAAAAGTTAAGAACAAGAATCAAACCCATATCAAACTGAACAACATTGAAAACACATCAATTCTCCAAATACCAAAACATCTAAACTAACTTAATAAACTATCCATAAACTCCTTATCAGTTTCAAGAGAAGCCATGAAGTGAGGTAAAAGGCACACTTCCAAATCCATGCTACCATCACCTTCAATTCCTTCGTACAAACTAACTTCCCCATCAAACTTATGTGCATATCCACTTCTAAGTGCCACTCCTTTTCCAAATCCAAATTCATGTCCATCATGGTTAATAGCTCTATCATGATCCAAAAACGATTGGACAACTAAAGGCACATCCTTTGGTGAAAGTATATCAGAAACAGTTGAATCAAGACTAGCATGGATAAATCTTGTACCAGGGGTATTAACACAGTTGATCGATAAAGACGGTGTAAAGAGGGGGATTTTCTTGTTTAAGTGTTTTGAAACGACCAGCTAATAGGTTAAAATGAACAATAAGGTGATTGAGAGTGAATTCTTTAATCTTTTGCAATAGAGGATCAAGTTGAAAAGATGATGGCTTGGTGAAAAGGAGACCTTTTTGGATATATTGAAACGAAAGCATGGCTATATCCCATGATGATAGATAGATAAATAGGCTTTTTCGACTCTTCTGAATCGTAAAGTGGCTTGATGAAACAATCTGAAATGTGTTGAACAGTGGGTGAAGACGCCATTTGTTTTTGCTTCTTGTTATTGCAGTATGAAGATTTGGTTTTTATAGTGTATTTAATGCCTAGTTCTACTTACTAACACCCTCATTTGGATGATTGTTACCCGTTGTGTTGTATTGTTAGTTTAGATACAATGTTCGTTTTTATTCTAGAGACAATTAGAACAAGGAAGAGCCTTTGGAGGCTATTTGTATTCCGCGCCAGTACTGTTTTCAGTTACTTAATCTGCTCTAAGTCAATTCATTGCAGTATAGATCTGCTCCTGCTTATGTAAAAAATCTGAATTTACCTTTGTGTTCTGTTAGAGTGAGTAAAAACCTCATGTTGGTTGTGGAATGGAATAGACTTGGACAATCCTCTCCTCGTAAACTAACTCTACATTGACCATCGCCCATCGGCCTGAGGATGAAAGGTTGTGCTAAGACTCACTCTGCTACCCAACGCGTTCCGTAATACGGCTGGCCTTAGTCTGTATCTTGATTTTATTTCATATTTGTTGCATGTGAAACAACCTTAAAAAATGGAGCCTCATACAATCAAATCGAATAAAATCTCTATCTACAATGTCAGCGCCATATTTTGTAATAGCAGAAACCTTTAAACTTTAAAAGATAAAAGGTTAACGTGTTGACGTGTTGTAGTCTTAAGGGTGAAATAATATCTTACAAGATCTAAAAATCAGCTCATTCATTAAAATAAGTTCAAAGTTAAAAGACTTTTTAGTGTACACATGCATTTGACATCAGTGCTTACTTCAATTTAATTTACCTTATAATAAACAACAACACAAAATCTTTTGAAATTAATACAATCAGCCCATGCAACAACATTGGATAAAGCCTTTCCTCTGCGAGAGCCTTGCGTCTTCACGAAGCTTTTGAAAAGATTTGATTCTTTCTACTAAACTCAGTGGTTAAAATACTACTTTCATACGGTGAAAATTATTATTCGTGAATATGGAGATTGGATTCATATTACCAACTATACTCTTGATTTTCTCCATCTTTTTTTTTCGAAAATTACAAAATGCAAGAAAGAAAAATCTTCCTCCAAGTCCACCATTTTTACCAATTATTGGACACCTCCATCTCCTCAAATCTCCAATTCACCAAACCTTCAAATCACTTTCTAGCAAATATGGTCCAATTATGTACCTACATTTTGGTACATCTCAAGTGATAATCGTCTCCTCTGCCTCAATCGCGGAGCAATGCTTCACAAAAAATGACATTATTTTCGCGAATAGACCAAAATCTCTAGCTAGTAAACACCTTGGCTATAACCACACAACAATTGGATTCTCACCTTATGGTGATCATTGGCGTAATCTTCGCCGAATTTCTAATATTCAAATATTTTCCACTTTTACCCTCAACAATTCCTCTTCTATCCGCACGGAAGAAGTCCAATTCGTTGTTAAAAAATTAGCCCAAGAGTACAAAGGAGGAAGTACTCAAAAAGTGAAACTGAAAATTCTATTTGAGAAATTAGTTTACGATGTGTTAACGAAAATGGTTGCAGGTAAACGTTGGGCCGAGTCATCAACTGATGACTTGTTCGGCCCAACTATGATTATGAACATTTGTGATTATATTCCAATACTTAAATGGATTCGATTTCAAGGACTGGAGAAGAATTTGGTGGAGTTGAAGATAAGAAGAGATGAATTTCTTCAGGGCCTAATCGATGAATGTCGAAAGAGCAGAGCTGATAAAAAAACAATAATTCATACGTTGTTGTCTTTGCAGAGAGACCAGCCAGAATGTTACACAGATGATATTATTAAGGGTGTCATCATGGTAAGCTCATTCATATTCCCTCCTCTTCATTTTGTATCTGAGTTTGAAATAAATATACCTCCAAACAATCATAAATTTTAAGCAAATATTCACCGTCATACTTTTGACGCATTGGTGCCTATGCCCTAGAAAAACTAGAGCAAATATGTGCATTATACTAACGGCATATATGTGTCATAATCTTATCCACCGACTCGACATTTATTAAATATCGAATCAACGGATAAAATTGTCCCACGTGTTCCTATTTAGTCTCTCGTTATAGTAAAGGGCATATATGCTCTAATTTTTGGACACCAAAGGCACCAATGTCCCAAAAGTATGACAGAGGGTATCTGCATAACATTTGAGATAGTTCAAGGTATATTTGTCCACTTTCCCTTTAAAATATGTATAATAGTAACATTTTGAATGATGTTTTTAACTTCAGGATATAATGTCCCAAAATTATTTGTGTGTTAATTTGACGAGTTTAAGAAAGTAAGCGAGTTTTTTTAATATTATGATGTTAAATTTAAAATAGGGGAAAAAGATAAATATATCTTTGAACTATCCTAAATGGTATGTAGATATCCACCGTCATACTTTTGGCACATTGGTGCTCATGTCTCTAAAAACCAGAAAAAATATGTCCTTTATATTAACGGACATACACGTGTCATGATCTTATATATCTATTCAACTTTTATTAAATATCGGATCGACATATAAGATTGTGTCACGTGTACCTATTTAGCCTCATGTTAAAGTGAAGGGCATATATGCTCTAATTTTTGGGCTGCAGAGACACCAATGTCCTAAAAGTATGACGGAGGGTATCTGCGTACCATTTATGATAGTTTAGGGTATATTTGTCCTCTTTCCCTTCAAATGATGTGTAATAGTAACATTTTGAATAATACTTTCAACTTTTGTTGATTTTCAAAGGTAATGTTTACTGCTGGAACACATACATCAGCTGTAACAATGGAATGGGCAATGTCACTGTTACTAAACCATCCAGAGGTGATGAAAAAGGCTAGACTCGAAATCGACAACCTCATCGGAGAAACACGTCCACTAGAGGAACCAGACATCCTTAAATTACCATATTTGCGTTGCATAATCAATGAAACATTAAGGTTATTTCCTGCTGGACCACTTTTAGTCCCACATTTTTCAACACAAGAATGTACAATTGAAGGTTACCATATTCCTAAAAGTACAATATTGTTTGTAAATATTTGGGAGATTCAAAGAGATAGTAAAATTTGGGAAGATGCAAATGAGTTTAAGCCAGAGAGATTTGAAGGGGGAATTGAAGGATGTAAATTTATACCATTTGGTATGGGGAGAAGGGCTTGTCCTGGTTATGGACTTGCTATTAGGTTAATTGGTTTAGTTTTGGGCTTATTTATTCAATGTTTTGAGTGGGAAAGAATTGGGGATGAATTGGTGAGTTTAGATGAAAGTTGTGGGCTTATGTTAAGTAAACTTGAGCCTTTAGAGGCATTGTACAGGCCTAGAGAGTCTATGGTTGCACTCTTGTCTCAACTTTGAGTTTAATATGAATTAGTACAACTTTACGTGTGTAGAGATCGCGTTCAATTCGTGAAAATTTACTGAATATGTTGTTGTTTTTTATGTAAGTGAAACTCTAGTATATTTTACTTCGAAAGATAGCTTTGTCGTGGACTTGAAAATTTCACATGTAAATATCTCAGAATTTCACTTACAGAATTTGAAGCAACATGAAAAATGTCTGTATTTTTTGAATTACGAGGGCTGGAAAGTGGACATTTGTGAATGATATTTTTGGTACTATTTTGAGAAATAGTTTATGTTCTGAAATATCAAATTTCACACGTGAAACTTTAGGATATTTATTAATTTGACAGTAAAAGATATCTCCAACTTATACTTTTAAATCCACAAGTAAATATGTCTAAGGTTCATTTATAGAATTTTAAGTTACGTGAGAATATCTATTTTTCTATTATAAGGGCTAAAGAGTAAATATTTGTAAATGTCACTTCTTGGTGCTATCTTGACATATTTTATATTACGATCAAATTTCACTAGTTGGTACTATCTTGACACATTTTATATTCCGATCAAATTTCACTAGTGAAACTTTAAGATATTTGACTTTAAGTTATATTTTCGTCTTGAACTTTCACACCTCACAAACTCCATTTGTGAAATTGAACAATGACTCTTTAATTTTCACTATGTGACCATGTCTATTTTTCAATTTTACAAGAGCCTAAAAGTGGATATTTATGAATTTACTCTTTACGTGTTATTATATCCTGAAGTTAAACTTGAATATAAAAATTCAAAACTAACCATAATTTTTCCAAATCACGTTGAATTTACGGAGTATTAAGGTATTTGTTCATGAATAAAACTTTAAATATTTGTTAAATAAGTCAAGAAAGACAGCGGTATTTGGCTGTAAAATTTAATTAATTATTCCGATTTTAAACTTGACATATAAAATTTAAAGTTTGGGAAAATAAATCTTCCTCCGTTCATAATTATCCATCATTTTAGTTTGGTGAGAGTTCAATTATCGTATAATTAAACTTTGGCATTGCTTTTAGCATAATTAAACGTTCACGCTATTCTTTGCTTCCATTTAAGATATTTTTATTAGGACGCATAACAAATGCTAAAATTGTATAGCTTGATAATTATAGTACGAATTACTTTATATCACTCAACTATAGAGTTCAAATTTTATACCAACATGGTGTTACAATGGTTGTGATATATCTGCACTTAATGAGAGGTTTCGGTTAAAATTCTTAAGATTGAAAAAAATCTTGTTGAGAGCATCGCTCACGTTAATAAGTCTTATAATATGCAAACTCAAATTTAGTTGAATTCCAATGCTAACACAAGTGACGGATTAAATAAGTCTAGGTCAAACTAGTAAATGAGAAATATTCATATAATATTAATGATTTAACTTTGTATATTTAATATAATTTTCTGACAGAATGGATTCATTAAACCTCTTATGCACCTAGCACCGCCCCTATTTTTAACATGAAAAGAAAAAAAAGCATGATATGTCCTACAATTTATTGCTAAACCAACTGCGTGTTTCTCATTTTCCATTAAAATTATCAATTCAAATAATGGAGAATCTTGCTAACACATAGACAAGTTGATATTGGTCTAGTCTATTACTTGACTATGTGGTAGGTAATAACTACATCAAAAATAATATTTCACGTCCGTTTACAATAGTTTAGTAGCCGCTAGATACACTCTTTGTGAAAGTCGATAAAGACTATAACGACATTAAATCTGATAGAAACTAACAAAAAAAAATTCTTTGTTAATGTATATTTTTACCGTTGCTAAAATATATAAATATATAAGGATAATCCAGCTTGTCATCTAATTTATACTTTTCTTCATTAATATTAAATACTGTTGACCTAGTGTCTAGTCTTTGATTTATCAAAATTAGTGGACTAAACTAAAGTATTAATTCAGCACGTTGGATTTCTTTCAAACTACCTAAACAATAGTGGTTAACATTTCCTTTTCATTAAATTTGATCAACAGTTGATTAAATTAAACTATATATTCGTACTCTCACTAATTCTCATCTCCAAAACAATCTTAAATTTGTTGATTCAACAATGGAGAACCAATATTACTACTATCTTACAATCTCTTTTGTTCTTATTTTTTACAAATATTTCTTCAATTCTAGAAGAAATAATTTGCCACCTAGTCCACTTGCATTTCCAATTATAGGCCATCTTTACCTTTTGAAAAACAAACCATTGTTGACACTTACTTCATTATCAGCAAAATATGGTCCTGTTTTGTATCTTAGGTATGGCTCTATGCCAGTAGTTATTGTCTCGTCGCCGTCTACTGTCGAAGAATGTTTCACCAAAAACGATATCATTTTTGCAAATCGACCACGTACCATGGCAGGTAAATTTTGAGTTTATGAATTCTGAATAAATACATCATTACATAGTCTAGACCTAAGTTAATGGTTTGACATTTTTTGTGTGTAATGTTATGTTTTGAACTTATATTTATCGTAAAGTTAAAATTCTGAATTTTCATTTGATCGCAGGAGACCAGTTGACATTCAACTATACGGCCTATTTTTGGGCTCCTTATGGACAATTATGGAGGAGTCTTAGAAGGTTGACTGTTATGGAGCTTTTATCATCAAACAGCTTACAAAAAACATCCAATATCCGGGATGAAGAAGTTGTTAACTTTACGCGTTCATTATTCAAATTTTGTAATGGTAGAAGCAGAAATGTGGATTTGACAAACTGGATTTGTACTTTTAGTTTCAACCTTGTGAACAAAATTGTCGCGGGGACACATTTAGTGAGTGAGGAAGATGCTGGGATGGAGAAGGGGATAGCGATGATCCATAGACTAAAGGGGATTTTTTTCGTAGATATACCAGTTTTGAATATGTGTGACTTCTTGCCATTTTTGAGGTGGATTGGTTACAAGGGGATGGAAAAGAAAATGAATTTAGTGCATAATCAGAGAAATGAATTCTTGGATAATTTGCTAGAGGAATTTAGACAGAAAAAAGTTAATGTTGGAAACAGGGTGAAACAGAACACATTGATTGAAACTTTGTTGTCTCTTCAAGAATCTGAGCCTGAGTTTTACACAGAAGATGTAATCAAAAGTATTATGCTGGTTGGTATCCTGTTACATTTCGCTTATGTTTCAAAATCACATCTGAATTATCATTTTCTTTCGGAGTTTCACATCTGAACAATCACCAGGGTAGGAAAAAGAAATAACTGATAGTATGGGGTGTGAAACTCACAAAAAAAGTGATAGTTTAGCTGTGTTTTAGACGATTAACTCTTTCATCTCTATGTACATGTAGAAAGCTAGCTGATTGAATTGTGGTACAGGTCATATTTGTTACTGGAACAGATACCACATCAACAACCATCCAATGGGCGATGCGACTTCTTTTAGCTCATCCTGAGGCATTGCATAAGCTGAGGGCTGAGATTGATGTCCAAGTAGGGAACACGCGTTTGCTAAACGAATCTGATCTCACTAAGCTTCCTTATTTGCATAGTGTTATCAACGAGACGCTAAGATTATACCCTACAGTACCACTTCTATTGCCTCACTACTCAACAGAAGATTGTACTGTTGGTGGCTACAATGTACCAAAACATACGATCCTATTAGTTAACGCTTGGGCCATTCAAAGAGATCCCCAAGTATGGAAGGATCCTAACGAGTTCAAACCAGAGAGGTTTGAGGCAATAGAAGGGGGAAAAGAGGGAGTTAACTATAAATTTATACCATTTGGAATGGGGAGAAGATCATGTCCTGGAGCTGGTATGGCCACGCGCGCTATTTCATTGGCGCTTGGTTCACTTATTCAATGCTTTGATTGGCAAAGTGTGGGAAAGGAAAACTTGGCGTTAAGCTACAATTCAAGAATCAAAATTCAGAAAAATAAGTCCTTGGAGGCTATTTGCTCTCCGCGATCCAACTTCCTGCAACTTCTCTCCCAGCTTTGAAACAATAATGTATAAGATGAAAAATGATCCTACTAGTTAATCATTAGCTAATGGTTACAAGTGAATAACATCTTCTTCATCTATCACAGTAAAACAATATTGCATCTGCTGATGTTGCAACTTTATTTTCAAAACTAAGCCTTTTATAATACAAATGATTATAGTTTCAGCTTTAACTATATAGCGTCATTTAACTGTTGTGTAAACTGATTTAATTTCTTTTAATAGTTTTATACCAAGTCAAACAACTACACGTATATTGAAATCGGAGTAAGTTCAAAGTCCAGGATATCTTACTTTTAAGTTTCAAAAGTTTGAGTTTTCTCCAAATATGATCCTTGCATATAAAATTGGTTAAATCTAGTCTTTGAAATGTGGCTAGTAATCAAACGACAATAGTAAGGATCGGTTTGGATATAATTTGAAGTTGAAATTTTATATTTTGCAAGTTAAAGTTCTTAAATTATATTTTTTTCTTACAAGTATGAAATTTCATAATCTTCATAAATTATCAAATATCTCCGACTCTAATATAATTTTACCAAAGTAATGAGCAATATAGGCATTGTAATACCGAACACGGATAATTAATGAATATCATTTTTTAAAATAATTTTACAAAAAAATATTAAATAAATCAATAATAATATTAATCAACTATTCTTTAATAAAATTATCTCAATAATACAGACAATTTCTCACACCTAAGTGTTTTTTATAAAATTTGAATCTCTTTATCTTTTAACAATTTTTTGGTTCAAATTTATATTGAATTCCTGATTTAAAATTAAACCTAATTTTTTTGAACAAATTTTTCTCATAATTTAAATTTGAACCTTAAAAAATTGAACATTTTCTTTAAACTTGAAATACTCCCCCAAATACGCCAAAAAAATTCCCAAAAATCACAGCAAGTGGGGTCCAACCAAACGGCCCGAACTCATTTATTTTGTCTTTAATGTTTCCATTTATTTATTTCTCTCCCTTTTTTTCCATTTCCCCAATTACCCACAAATCACAATTTTCAATTTCAGCGTAACCCTACAAACCCCCCCACCGCTACTCCACCGCACCACCACCACCGATGGCGGAAATCGATTCAGCTCAGTCCCAAGAGACCGTCACTCAGGAGACTCAGAACAAACCAATGACCACTTCCTTCAGCATTTGGCCACCAACTCAGCGCACTCGTGACGCGGTCATCAACCGCCTCATCGAGTCTCTGTCAACACCTTCCATTCTCTCAAAACGTTATGGAACTCTCCCGCAAGACGAGGCATCTGAAACTGCAAGGTTGATTGAGGAGGAGGCATTTGCTGCTGCTGGATCCACTGCTAGCGATGCCGATGACGGCATTGAGATACTTCAGGTTTACTCAAAGGAGATTAGCAAGCGCATGATTGACACTGTTAAGTCCAGATCTGCTCCTGCTGCTGCTTCGGAGGGTGAAAGTAAGCCGTCAGAGTTACCGGCTGATGCTTCGGAGCCTTCCTCTGCTTCTGGTCTCACTGGAGAGGTCTCATCCGTTGAAACCGAGCCTTGAAGAGGTCATTTGCTTTCTTTTGTTTTGTTAAATATTTCCTTCTGCAGTGAGAAATCATCTAGGCTTTGGTTAATTCAATTACTTGCAAGCTGTATTAACTCAGATAACAGCTTTATGCAGTTTATGGATTGTTAAGGTGTTTAAATGTTATGTTTGATATCATGAAATTGATGCTATCTAAATGAGGTTGATGGAAAAAGTTGTGATTTTGGCATTACTTTGTCTATATTTCCTTTTAATGCCTGTTGATCTGCATACTTGGCTGGAACTGGTGAATGCTTGTTATTGTGCACCTCATTTATATTTCATTTATTTATTTTCTTCTTCGGTCCATTGTGAGGTATAAGGTATAACAATACCATGGATAAAATGCCGGACTATTTCTATTGCTAGTTAGTGCAATAGAAAGGTTGAGCTCCGTTCGTGGAACTTGTTAAGAGGAGCTTCCAAGATTAAAAGACAGTGATTGTTTTCTGTAAGTCCTGGGCTCTTGGCTTTTTTTGAATACCAGGAAGTGAGTTGTCACTGCTGTGCTTTTTCGTTTGTTTGTATTTTTGCCAAGATCTTTAGTGTTTATATGTGCTGCTATCACATATCACACATTTATGATAGATCGAGGAAGAAATTTCCTAGTTTGCTTCCCTTTATTGGTGGGATAAATTATGTGATAAATGTGAATACAATGTGGTCTATACTTAAATGTAATGCTCATTGGGGAGAATCTGATGAGCTCGGGAACCAACTGTCTAATATCACATGATAGGTACTTATTGCTGTTTGAAATGTCTACTAAATACCATGTATGCTCAAACTAGACAGACTTTAGGGACTCTGGAGAAAAGAGGAACCTCAGAGAAAATGTGATTAGCTTTGGGATTAAGAGAAGTAGGTTTTCTGATCAGTGTTGGTGTATTGCGGAGTTTAAAATTTTGACACAGTCAGTAGTTGCTAATATTTGCAAATGTGGATATTAGTCCCACTTTCTGCAACAAATTTGGACATGCTGAATGCAACATTTGGTAGTTGGTAGTTGGTCAGTATTAGTCTTGACATGTATGACTTGTGCGGAATAACTTGTTATGCTTATAGAGCTTTTTTATGTTTTTTATTTTTTGGAGAGAGGGGAACCCTTAAAGAACAGATAGTGGTTGAGCTAAAAAGCTTGACAAGGGATAAAGGGGAAGTATTTGGTCTAGCAAACAAGAGTCTGATTCCTTGGTTAAGCACCTGAGAAGGGTGTCTGAGTTTTTTAACTATAGCAGTGAGTGAGGGCCTCATTTACCTTATTTTGTGTGCTCAAGGTTTAACTCACTCACAACATATGCAAAGAACAAATTAAGTTGGTGTGAGGGGAAATGTTAAGAATAATTCATCACCAACTTAATTAATAGCTATGTCATTTCATGAAGAATCTAGAATTAGTCAAAGAGTTGTAGAGAATTGGGAGGACCACTCGAGAATGAGAAATTAAGAGTGATTCTAGGAAAACGTTAGTAGTACTCTAGAAGAGAGTAGTAAGTATCTTTCAGTAGATCCTTTCATCACCTTTTATAAATAGAGGTGCTCATTTCAATTGTAACCAAGCAAGAGAAAGCAAGTTAGCAAGCAACAAGCGAGTGAGAAATAAGAGAGAGTTGTTAGAGTGTGCATTGTGCATAGAACTGTAAGACTGAAGTCCTTACATTGGACTTGATTTCAAAGTTTTCCTTTAATCACTATAATCTTGCCCTCCCAATCATGTTTTTACTACTATGTGGTATATTATATATTTACCTCATGACAGCAACTGATCACCTCTCTACGTAAGGTGTGCGTACACCTTTCCCCACCTCACCTATGGATATCACTGGTATGTTGTTGTCTTTGCTCTAATGATGACTATAGTTTTTCATTCATATATTGAAAATACAAAGAATGAGAATTTGTCGTTAAAATGGAAGGCATGTGTAGATTTTCAAGACAAATCACATCTTTTTGGAATTCCATGTGGAAAGAAAACTGTTTCACAAGCTATCTTTTGGTCTCTTTTTGATCATGTATGTTTTTTTCAGTCTCTGCTGCTTCAGGAAATTCCAACCTCATCATCAGATCTTCTGGCTTTCGAGTTTGGCTTTCAGGATGCAATGTGGGTGTAGCTTCTAATAGTCAATGTATCTTTTTATTGACTCTTGGAGGAACGGAATTAACTCTTTTTAAGAGGTTTATGAATATGGAGTAGTTTTCAAACATATAAACCTGTCCAGGATTGGGGAAAAAAAAACACCGACTTTATGTATGGCGTATTAGGAGTACAAATAATTTCTCTATGCGGAATGTTGAAAAGTTCAATTAACTTGTTCCTTGTATGCTGTCATCTTTTTGAAAATCTAGCATTGGTCAAGTATTTTCGAAGCAAAATGCCGCAACATAGGACCCATCACTCGAAAATCCAACTGACAACTGGTAACTCAAATCTTTGCTACAATAATGGCATACCCGTGTAGTTTTACAAATGAGGTTTAGGAAGGTAGGATGTGAGATTGTTTTCGATAGATTTTTGATCAATGCCTAAGTTTTCCAATAAGCAAGCCCAAATTTAGAAGAATGGTAAATTCATAAATATAAGCAACTTAGTAGACTGTAATAGTAGTATTAGACCTTGTTGGACCAAAAAATGTTCCCTAGTAAAAGCATGTTATAGGAAACATTAGCTTGATTTTTTTGGAATTAAGAGCATGAAGCTACAATTTTTTTCCATTTTATATTGTATAGCATGCAATGATAGTAGCATTTTATATGCTATTTAAGAATGTGTAAGTCAGCTTTAGCAGGTGGAAAAGTTATCAGCACAACTACGTAAAATCTAACTTTTGACTAACACGGCAATATTTCGGATTCTGCAAGGCTGTAACGTGCATGGAATTAACTCTTGGAGCTTATGATTATGGAGTAGGAACAAGTTTAGGATAATTTAAAGGTAATTTTTTCAATATATATGGGGTTTGCAATTAGTTAATTTATGCAGACAGGATAAGTTTTAGTAGCTAGTAAAACGTACAATCCATGACACTTTTTAACATTTTTGAAAATCTAATTTCACGGCTGAAACTTGGGCCAAAATATTGCCAGAGCAAAACAGCTGTAACCAAGGACCTATTACTCAAAAATCCACTGAAAAATACTGAATATGTAATGTCAATTTTTAATGGGATGCGAAGTCATACTATTTACCAATATTTCACTATAACAATCATATAAAATATTGAATCGATTTTTTCTTATTAAGCCATATCACATGTTCTCTATTATAACATTTCGTTACGACATCTAAAAATATCAAAACACGTAATGTTATTATTGGAAAATTCGACTATATTTGGCCCAAAAGTAAGCTTAATTGCATTCATAGTCAAACTGGATCTGTGAATAGAAATATGACACACATTTATAACAATAGCCAGGCAAAAGAGAGAAAAAACTGAGATTTTTCAATAGTAAATCGAGTACATCTTGTTGGTCCAGAAAAACTCCCATGTAAAAGCATATGAAGTACAAGCATGAGCTGGACTTTTTAAATTCGTAGATGAAGAGAGTTAAATCTGTTTCTTACCTGATTACTCAAACTAATAATTATTGTCTTAGACATTTTCTTGATTTCAATTTCTCCCATAAATATACCCTATATTTAGACCATGAAGCTATAATTTTACGTTGTTCCTAATTCTATAGCATGTTATAGACGCCCTAATTACTTATTCATTTTTGAATTGATATATCTATTAAAACACTCAATAATTGACATAACGAGTTTACCATTTAACCACTAATAGTCATGAACCGGAAGAATTAAAAACTTAATATTTTCAGGAAGTTGTACCCTTTTTAAATTAATTAATTGAGATAACAATAGGTAAAAAAAATAGTCCCTCTCTTGATTTGTTAAAATGGACAAGTAATAAATGACAATTAACAATGAAAATGTAGACAAGTAATTAGAGATCGAGAGAGTATAAATTGTCCCAATTTAGATGACTTATTTGCCTCTTTAGTCTGTCCCAAAAAAGAATGACATTATACTCCATATGTCCTTATTTCCTTGTCCATATTTTTTTTGGTCTCTATTTAGTTATCCATTTTGACAAATCAAGAGAGAAAAGAAAAATTTTCTATTATAATCTCATTTAAACTTTTTGAATATTTTTAAGTTTTAATTCATCATTTTTAAAATCATAATTAATAAGGGTAAAATGGTAACTTCACTATGTTAATCATTGATATCTTAATAGGTGTGTCATTTCTAAAATAGACAAGTAAATAGAGACAAATAGAGTATTAAGTAACAATTTATCTTTAAAATATCTATTTTACAGAAAAAATTTATAACTATATAAACTTCTATCATTCATTTTAGATAACAAATTTAAAAAAAATTCTCTTTCTTTTTTAATTATATACCGAATAAAACTAACTCATATAAAATGAAACTAATAAAAATTAGTTTTTGTTCGCTTTATGAACATGCGATGAGTCAGCTTTAGCAGGTGGAAAAGTTATCAGTACCAACTACGTAAAATCTAACTTTTTGACTTACATCGCCGTAAGTCGCAGAATATTTTGGATTCAACAACGTGCGTACGTGGTCATAAATGTACACACGAGGGCATGCCTTTAATTTCGAGTTTTGGATTGTGGAGCCTGATTAATATTTGATATATTCATGGAATGTATCACGAAATATCAATTTTTTTCTCTCTCTCTAGATCTCTCATCTCTCTCTAAAGTTTTTGTGTTTTTCATTCATCAAGTGTGTGTGGATTCGATCCTAACATCAAATTCCACTATATATCCTCCTTTGACATTGCAAACAACTAAGTCAAACTTTTCGAGCCATTCGGATATGATTCGATTGAATTATTTTTTAAGAAAAAGAAAGAATTTTAAGGTGAAATTGAAAAAAAATAATTGAAGTATTTTTTTATTGTTATTCTAACCATCTTAGCATTAGATATAGTCTGAATTTTAATTTTATGAATTATATAAAATAAAATACGAAATTCTTGATAATTATATATATTATTATGTCATAATCAGAATGCTAGCTCTACCTTTATACCTTAACTTACATGGTTATCAATCACAAGTTTGAACAATAACTAGACAAAGGTTGGTGAACACTTAGTATTCTGAACTCAGTATTTTTCATACACAAAATTAAATTTATATGTAAGAATGTATAATAGTGTACTTACAAATAGTATATATATGAGAACCCATGACTTTATAAAAGATTCAATACTAAATTTTTTTAAATTAAATCATAGATCATGTGTTGAAACTTTAAAATTATAAAGGATTCAATACTAAAAAAGTTAAAATTAAATATGTAAAATTTAAATCATAGATCCGTTTAGACACAATACATAGGTTCGAACCTATAATTACTGAGAGATTATATTTGAACTAAACTTTAAAACACAAGTAAAACTTAAGTTAAGAAGTTGTCGGTCAGACAACACACTGAAAAAAAATGTCTTGCTGCTGGTCAAAATGTCACCAAGAATTATTCTAACTCATGGAGAAGTCAATAGTTAACTGTGGTCCCAAATTTTCATAAATTTAAATTTTTGATTTTGAGACAAAAGTTCATGACATTTTATTTTATCAATAGAAAAAAAAAAGGAGTAAATTTAGAGCATCATAATCTATTAATTATAGAGATTATTTAAACACACACAATAATGATACTATTGTAATTCTCCTCGTGTCTTAATTTAGTAAGCCATCATAGTTTCCATGGGAAATTAATAAAAGCCAATACTAAAAAAAATGTTCTTTCTCATCAATTATTTTCTTAAATGAGAAATAATACAACCACCATTCAATCAAGCACCACAGGTCCAAAATATTTTTCAAAATATCTTTAAAAATAACTAAAAATTTCGATTACAAATAATATTAAACTAAAGTATTTCAATCATTTCGTATACATTTCCAACTCAATTATGCTTGTATTACTTATGTCCTTCCTAAAAGAATGTCTTCTAAGTACAATTGTGAAGAACTCTTAATAAAACACCTTCGTGCAAAAATATGTTTGAAACCAAAAAAAAACACAAACTTTAACTAATGACCAGGACCTTTTCTACTTGGTCCAGAAACCATAATAAAAGCCATATTCTTAACTGAACTTTGTCTACTTCTCTTCACAATCTCTGCTCTTCCTTTATCATCTGGTGAAGCCGCGGCGACGACGATGTTTTTTGGCGATTTCTCTCGAAGGGATCGACAATTGACACAACTAATTAGTTGTGTACAAATTATTAAGAGATAAACAAACAAAGCCAATGTGAAATATGAAGTTTTTCTAGCTCTTGCCATGATGATGTTGTGTTAATTATTTTTGTGTAATGAAAAATGATTATGAATGGAGTTGTTAGATATTGCAACTGCTGGCAGTATTTATAGTGAAAGAAAAAAAAAAAGTAGTAAGAGAGTAACTTTTTTGAATATAGAATTGTGACACTTATTAATTATACTTTTGACTTGTGAGGATGGAGAGAATTAAAATTCTTAAAGTTTGTACAAATAATTCTTTCGGCTAATATTACAATTTTTTTAAGATAAAAAAGAAGCTATTGTTGAGAATGTTTTATGAGTAAGTTGGAATATATATAAAAACTTTACAAAAATAGATGATGTTATCTCATACGTTTATGAGACGTATAATTGGTTTGATTTCACACATGAGAATTGAGAATTAGTACCTTTTTTATTATTATTATTATTCAAATTGCGTGTGTATTTTCTACGCGGTCTTTAATTTGTTATGTTTTTGTATAAAATGAATAAAGGCAAAGACAGGCAGTTTCGATGGCAGGTGGCATGACAAGAAAACCTGTGAAATTAAAAAGGGGATAGGACTATATATTATGCGTTCTTTTTCGTGGAAATCTCCTTTTTTTTTTTTTTTTTTTTTTTTTTTATGGCAAGACGGTGCATGATTGTTATAGTTCCAAAATTCTTGTATCTAATTGTATATAAGTTTAAATGGATCTTTGATAGTTGATACTAAGAGATTAGTTGGTAAGCGATTCGTGATGGGATAAGTAAGAATATCTTATGAGATTGGTGATTTTATAAAAAAAAAAATTGGTATATGATAATAATTTTATTATTTTACTGAGATATAGTGGTGTCAAAAATAAACTCAAACGTAGATAACCCGTTTAATTCGCTCAGAATTTTAAGGGTTGGACTCGAGATAATTTGAAT